GGTACCCCCTCTGGCGCGGCCGACCGTGGCCACAGCGCCACGCTTCGCCTTCCAGAAAGTCCCCCTGGCCGCATGGCACAAGACGCGCCCCCCGTGGGTCGTACTGGCCCGCCCGGAGAGGCCGCACGGCGGAGTTTCCGCGGAACGGTCTAGAGACTAGCTGGGCGAGGAGGCGCGCTGCCTCGACAACGGAATGCGCCGGAATGCCCGCCCTTTCCGGGCAGCCCTGGCTTGCGAAGGGTCGCCCTGAGCCCCTCGGAGGAAGGCGAGCTGGTTCCCCGCATTCCTGGCCGGGGTGGGCCCCAGCGGCGTACAAGGAAGCCCCGGCTGGCTCGGCCAGGGAGGCAACAACCGGGAGAGGCCCCCGCTTCGCCTCAGACCCGCCGCGCTCCCGTTGCCGATCGAGAGCCGGAGCTCGGGGTTGTTTTCCCTCTATCCGCGGGCGCAGACCTCCTCACCTGGGACACGCAACGCCTCCCGCCCCCTCGACGTCTTTTGCGGCTCCCACCAAGCCCGGCTCCCGACGCGCGGTCTCCTTGCCGGCTCTGCCGCTGCTTCGAGCGCCCCCCAGCGATGAAGTGTGTGCGTTCTCCTTGGCTTTTCCCCCTCTATAAATGACAGCTAACTAAACTAAGGAAAAAAGTGCCTACACACCGTTAGTTAATTCATCAAAGCACTCAATATTGTTGATTCTGTTTTCATTTACTGCTTCAGTCCATGGCACTAACAAAGCAGGGTTGGTTGTTGTGGGTTTTTCGGGCTCTTTGGCCGTGTTCTGAAGGTTGTTCCTCCTGACGTTTCACCAGTCTTTGTGGCCATGGGCATCTTCAGAGGAAAGCAGGGTGGCTAATTAAAAAACCCTGGAAAAAAATAGTCTATGCCCTGCAAAGGTACAATTCAGTATGGATGCTAAAATTCTGTAATTACAGCCCAATGCTTCCTAAGGAACAAAGAGAAGCTCAGCTCAAGAATCAAACTAAGGAAACACTTGTTGCTCAATTTTTATTTGCAGTCTAGTGCATCTTTAAACTCAGACAGGCAAAGGGGTGGGGAATCAGTGGGACTCCATCCTAGTAAGTTCAGGAAGGCAGGTTAAATAAAACCTGGCTCTACATAATGCAGTGCAAGCAAGAGCGACCATCCTGCTTTGAGTCCATTCACCCAACCAGGGTACACCCCCCGCCCCTGAATAAAAACCCTTCCCCTTTCACACAGAGTGCTGTCCTCCCACCTGAGATGTGAGCTGCATGAGGAAAGAGGGTGGAGGCCTCCCCATTTCCCCGTTGACCCTCTCCCCTGATACATTTCCCTCTTCTGCATTGTCCAGCACTGGAGGGCAGCGTCCCAGGTGGCAGCTCCCTTCCCCCAACTCATGGGCTGTGACCCAAGGGAGGGAGGGGGTGACCCTCCTAGTTCATGGTGGCCTGAAGCAGAAAGTCATGGACCGCGGTGGTGAGCCCCCAGCTGAGGCCTGAGCGCAGAATGAGCAAGGAGCCCCCCCGGTAGAGGAGCGTGGCCCTCCCCTCTCGTGTCTGCCAGACAGCAGCCACCACTGCCCAGAAAGGGAGGGTTTCCTGCCTCCCCACCTGAGCCTGCATGTTGGCAATGAGGACTCCAAGAGGGTAGAGCATCAGGCAGATGGCCGTGCCATTCACACTGCCTGAGATGAGGGCAGGGAGCCAGCTGGGCAGGCCCTTCTTGGACAGGCGGTCACGGAGGGGATCCTTGAAGGAGAAGTACAGGGCGCTCCCCAGGCCGTTCCGGAGCAGGACGAGGCCAAGCCCTCGGTAGTAGCCCAGGGCAAGTCTTTCCTTCACCGGATAGGAGTTGAATTCCCTCAAGATGCTCTGAGTTGTTGGGAACCGCTGGACCTTCCTCCCATCCTGCAGCACATTCTGGACCCGCTCAAAGGGGCTGAGGACCAAGGCCTCCGAGAAGCCTGACAGGAGGCCAGCTATGGCTCGGTCTTCCAAGGAGTAACGCCCCGAAGCCTGGCTGGAGAGGGTGCAAAGGAAGCTCTCGTAAGTGCCGAACATCACAGTTCCTTGCAGGGTTTTGGCCAGGAGTGGTGGGAAAAGGCCGCGGTAGAAATGGCGGAGGCCCTCCTGGTGCAGCTGCTGGACCGCCTGCATGATGGAGGAGGCATGGAGCTGCTGGCGGAAGATGGTCTTGTAGATGGGGAAGGTGGCCAGCGTGGCAAAGAAGCTGGAGGCGGCACCCACTCGGTAGCTCCTGGATAGCCGACTCTTCCTTTGCTTCTCCTCCACCTCCTCCCTTTCCTTCTCAGAGTTCCTGGATGACATCTCCCCTCCGGCCTCGCTCTGGAAGGACGTCCTGCTTTTCACTGCAGGAGAAGAACCAGAGAAAGGCCAAGAGAGCTCAAAAGGAAAGGCAAAAGAGGCAAACACCGGGGACGGGACGGGCTTCCATCTTGCACCTGTGAGGATGGCAAAGCCCTCCCCCATGAGTTCTGGCTTTCCAAAACTCTTTTTGCAGCCCCCAGGCTTCCCCTGGCCTGAATGACACCTTGCTAACCAATAAATGGTTATTTAATGCCCAGTTTCTGGAACTGGAAGGGGACTTCCAGCCATTTCAGATTTCACATAAAAAGTTTGTGTGTGTGTGTGTGTGTTTGAGATTTGTTGCAGCTCCTAGTGGCCTTGTGGAAATGCCTGAGCTCATACCTAGAAACTTAAGACTGCTTATCTGTGCTTGGAGGTAGGTGTCTTCTCCCAAAGACTGTTAAACAAGTCTCAGCAACCACAAGCTAAGATCACCCCCCCCCAATACTGGCTCTGTTCCCATTTCTATTGCCCTTCCTTTCACTGCCCCTCCCCCACCTGAGTACAACTACCTGCCCGCTAGGTCTACAGGCTGTGCATCCAAGGGAATGGCAGTCAGAAAAATCGAGATATGCTACACAAGACTGGCCAGCCTGCCAGGGTCAAGGCTGTTTTTAGTGAATCTGGCTCCCTTGGAGAAACGGGGCCCTGGCCACCGCCATCCAGCTGGTCCCTCCCTGGCACCTTGCTGGGGTGCAAGACCCGGCTTTGGGGGCAGCGGCGGGGGGGGGGCTGTTCTCTCCTGCTGAAACAAACTCTAGATCCAGCACTCGGTGGGTCTGTGTGAGAGAGGCGGAAGGGGAGCCAATCCAGCGAAGGGCCGGAGCGCTTCCACAGGGGCCCAAAGGGAAGCAGTCCTGCAAGAGCAGCCAGAGAGGAAGACGTGCCCGGTGGCTGCCCGGTCCCGGTGGGGTGTGTGTGTCTTTTTCTGCTGTCCAGGAAAGGGAGTCGCTGAGAGGAGGCCTTGCTTTGCTCTCACCGCCTTCTGCCCCACCGCCCTGAACTGATTTTGCTGCCAGGGATTCCCCGGCCTCCTCCCCGGCCAGACCCGATGAAAGACCCCGCCGGCTCCCAGAGGCTGTCCCTAAGGCGGAGGATATTCCACGTGCGCCTGGGATCATGCCCAGCCCTTCTCAGGAGCAAGCCAGCGCAGCAGCAGCGATGAGTCGGGCAAGGGGCGGCAGAGGAGGGGTCCTTTGTCTGCCAGGAGTCCCTTGGGCGGAAGCCCACTTCCTCCGCCGCTCACCTCGGCCCCCCCCCCAGCCCCCCTCTCCCCGGCCCCAGGCGAACTGCAAGCCAGCCGCGGCCAGTCCTCCCGCCCGCAGGGCCCTCCGAACTGGGGGTGTCGGGGGACCCGCCCCGCAGGACCCTCCGGGGAAGCGGCGCGCGGGCGGCCTTGGCCACGGAGGGCCCCGCCGGGACCGCGCTTCCACCCGGGAGCTCTCCCTCGGGGTCCAGCACAGCGCTCGCCCAGCCGGCAAAGCCTCGCTTACCCTGGCAAGCATCGCCCCGTCTTCCGCTTGCTTCAGGCGGCTTGGCCGCGAGGACTGGCTCCGTTCAGCCCCACCCGCTCTCGCTCCGTGTCCGCCGGCCGGCCGGCCGCTCTCTGCGCCGAAGGCTCCACCCCGGGCCCTGCCGCGCGAGAGCCAGGCTGCATGCGGTGGGTCCCAGCCAGCCGCGTGCTTCCGGCCCTCGGCTCCGCTCTCACGCTCTCGTGGGACCGACCCTGCGCTGAAGGGCGGCGGCGGAGCGCACCCTCCCGGCCCCTGAGCCATCATCTATTACTCAAGATATTCCTGTCTTTAAACTGCGAACGCTTTGGAGGTCAGTAGCAAAACAGCTGACAGAGGGAACCCCCCCCCGCCGCCCCTAGATGGGGGAGCAAAACCCGCTCTCTTGGGATGTGCAAGGAGGCCAGGGGTCTGCCGCTAGTCTAGGCACCAGATGAGAAACGAAACCCTAAAGAACGCGGTTGACATATTCAACCCACCCCAGAACTAGAATTGCAAGGTTCAGCGTGATTTGTGATCAAGCTTGTTTTCCGATCTCTACAGTACACCTTGCATCGACAAGGCATCGCCAGCGACTTTAACATACAGGTCTCAGTAGATCACACACTATTGTAACCTAGCCAAGGTAGCCTCAGGATAGTATTGCTGGCCAACCACTCCCTGACACAGGAAGTTCATCATCTCATTACCCAATTTGTTATGCTGTTTGACCAGTACAGGGGATAAATCCCTTTTCTACTATTGAAATGGCACAATCTGAGCTAATTAAGGCTCTGGGTGTCTGTTTCTGCAGAATGTGATCCTTCAATAAACCCTGCATATTATAAAATCCATATTCTTGTCTTGGGCCTTGTTTAATTCTCTCTCCCTCCACATATCCCAAGAGGCTTGGTTCCTGCCAGGGAAAACACACTTAAAACACAAGTGTCCCAGCACCCAAATAAAAGGGAGGACGACTCCAAAGTCAGCCTTGGCTGCTTAAAAAGCCCAGGAGGCTGGAAGCAAACTAGCTTGGGAAGGCCCTCCTTCCTGGCTTCCACTACCCACACGTATGCATTTCCTAAAGTGTAGCAGAGACCCTGAGCCACGTACGGACAGATGTGTGCGCCCACGCTTGTGTATGTGTCTACCCCCCTCCCCAGGAGAACTGCTGAACCCAGAAATAAAAAGTTCTCTCAGTTTTTAAATAAAAGTTTAATACTCCTTCACTCGGCCCGTCAATAACACCAACGCTGCAGAATCCTTCAGGTTGCCCTAAACCTTCAGCCTCTGCTTCAGGTCAGGATGGAGCAGAGGCGGCAGCTGCAGAGGCCGGAAGGGCCCAAAACAAAGAAACAAGCACACACACACACACACACGCACAGACTCACATGGCAGACAGACAGACAAAGAAGAGAACACAAGCCAAGGTTCACAGAGGAGCTGAATTGCCACTGGACCAAACCCAGGCGGGTGCATTTCGTGAGAAGGGCACCAAGAACAACCTGGGCCCAGAACACCCACCCAGGCTTCTGCTCTGCCAGACACAGCTTGCCCTCCCCTAATGTCCCCAACCTGAGTGGGCTGGTCAACACAAGGGCATTCTCTCCTCAAGTCATCTCTCTCCTGGATGAGCCCAGACAGTTTGCAAAGGAAGGCAGATGCTGGGTTTGACTCTGAGCTGCTGGATGCCTTTGGCCAATGGGCCTGGGAGGGGCCCCATCTGCCTCGCGCTGTTCCTGGGAGTGTCGTGTTGCAGCTAACAAGGGACAACCAAAAAAGCACCAATAAATAAAGCCAGCCTGCCAATGCACCCAGAAAAGCACAAGGTGCACGTGCGTCGTTCCCAAGGCACCAAGGATGCAAAAACCTGCCAAGGGGACCAGAAGCTGGGGGTGGCAGAGGGCCAGAAAGGCTGCCAATCAAAACAAAGCTCCAAAGAGGAAATCCTTTAAAGGGTGGGGTGGGGGCTTGGAGACACACACCCGCCCGCCCACCCCGCTGAAATGAGATGGACACTAGGACCAAAAAAACAAAACAAAACAAAAACAAGAGGATCAGGAAGGCCACCCTGCGCTGGTGGGAACCAAGCGTGGCCAAGATGGGCAGAAGCAGTCGATGACTGGAGGCTTCCTGCTGCCAAGGAGGAGCCTCCCCGAACCTCATGATCCAAACGGCTGCATGCAAAATGGAATTCTCACTCCGGCACCCACCACCCGCCTCAGGTGCGGCACCTGCAGAGCCAGTTCTTAGTTCTCCGCTGGCCGGAAACAGTTCAACAATTTCACAGGACGTCTAAACTACAGAAGTGACCGCAGATGACGTGTCTACGAGTGCTTGAAACGTGACCCTCCCCAGACCCAGCTTTGGGAAGCGGAGAGGCAGAAGAGAGGAGAGCTGCGGTCAAAACGAGCAACATCTTCTACTGAAACCTTATAACAAATTTTGGTTTTTCAAAAAGCCACACAAGCAGCAGCAGCATGAGCAGCCTCTACTGTTATAAAGGGACGTGGCTGAACAGGTAAGAGACAGATTCCCCGTTGTGAGTCCTCCGGATGGCCTCGGCCAGGATCATGGAGATGTCGATCACCTGGGGGAGGAAGAGGAACAAGCCATCAGGGGAAGAGGAGGGGACTGCAAACCATCCCAGGTAGAGCCCAGCCCGGAATGCGCTGCTGGGAAGGGGGATCCCAGGTGGCAGCAGGAGGGACCGCTCCTGACGTGGCTGGGGAAACTGAGAGGCAGGGAAATCCCTGGAAGACTCGGCTCCCAACAGAACTGCGTTTGCCTGCAAAAGTTCCGCAATGCTCCCATTTTGGTTGGGCCGACAGAGCTATCTTTTTCGAAACTGCCCTTGGAGTTTGGCTCCAACCCTCCCTCCAGAATGAGCAATGTTTACTCCCTATTTTCTTTCTTCTTTGAACCTTTTGAGAATTCCCACCCCTTCAACTGTAAAACATGATCTTACTTTTTCAGATGAAAATGAAAGAAATCTCCACCACCACAGTGTAATAACAAGAGAAGAACACAAAGCTACTGCGGAACAACTGTGCGTCACTTCTTTCCAAAAGCAGGCTAGGCCCATCTCTAGGGCCAGATTTCACCCATTGTTGGGTGACCTCTTTTCTGCTGCTTCTCCTCAATGGGACAGGCTTTCCACAAGCATCCCTACCTGGATTTTAGGGCAGTGCTTCATCTTTTCCTCTTGGGGGATGGTGTTTGTCACAACTACGGCCTCAAAGCAGGCACTGTTGATTCGAGTGATGGCCGGCCCAGAGAAGATCCCATGAGTGAGGATGGCGTAAACTTTGGTGGCTCCAGCTGAGAGCAGCCTGCATGGAAGCAGAGGAGGAGACCCCTACAGCAGCTCACAGGGAGAGCCTTCAGGCTTCTCTCCAGTAGGAGCCAGACATCTGGCTCAATGTGCAATGGCATCAGGGTGGGCAACTTCCAGAAATGGGGAGGGGGAGGCACACCCTTCTACACCACAGGGAGGCAGGCCTTTCCCTGCCTCCCAACCCTGCAATGGAGTTTTATTTTATTCTATTTTAAATGAAAAAGCCCTCTTGCCCCCTCTAGTGGCCAATGTGGTGCTTTGCCCACTCTTGAATGATGCAAGAACTGGCCTTTCTCCAGGATTTGAATAAAGTGCTAAATCCATCCTGATGTTCAGGACCAAGCAAAGGTTATTCTAAGGACCACTTCAGGTAGATGGGAAGACTGGAGAGAAGAATCCAGAAAAGAATATGCAGCTCAAGAGGAAGAAGACACTTGTTCCTGCCCACAGACAGCCTCCACCCGGAAAGAAGGGGGGGGCACGTCCATTTCGAGGGCCCCTCCTTGTGGAAGAGAAGCCACTCACTTGTCTGCTGCGTGGCAGATGGTGCCACAGGTGTCTGCCATATCGTCCACCAAGATGGCCACCCTATCCTTCACATCTCCCACCAGCACCATGCGGTCGACCTCGTTGGCCTTCTTCCTCTCCTTGTGAATGAGGGCAAAATCCACATTCAGCCGATCCGCAATGGAAGTCACTCTGTGGAAAAAGCAGTGCTGAGCAGGTGCCTCCAAGGAGGGGAACGCTCCCTTCTGCTACTGCTTGCCTAGCCGTGACCACCACCATCCCGGTCACCACTGAACACCAGGGGGACGCAGGTAAACGCCATATGGAGCATTCCGTTTGTCTGGCAAGCTTTTGTTCTGCTAAATACTCCTCTTACTAAGTCTATTTAAATGCCATGGAAAGAGGAGCAGAAAACTAGTAACTTTAGGATAAACATCCTACCCCACATTTATGGCAGTGTCTGTGGCACCACTAACTAGAACATGAGAAACTCTGGCTTGCCATGGCCTTCACAGCTGCCTCATCCTCCATGCTCAGCCCTGCCTCAAACGCCTTACCTTTTGGCGCCTCCAGCATCTGGCGAGACGATGGTGCAGGTCTTCCACTCCACAATGTTCTCTTTGATCCATTTCAGGACTGCAGGCTCAGCGTAAAGATTGTCCACGGGGATGTCAAAAAAGCCCTTGGGAAGCGGGAGCAGCTGCTGAGTTCTCAACTGACACTTGGCAAATCCCACCCTCACTGCCACCCTCTCTCCCATCTTGGCTTTCCATCATAAGGAGGAGAAAGGAGCAGGGGCGGGGGGGGGGAAGCAAACCTGCCTACAGCTTAATTCTCTCACACCTTTCACTTGGAGCAACTAACAAAATCAGGCACCCACAAGCAGCAGCACAGTGCCTCCTGGAACCCCGGCTTTCATGAATGACGGTGCATACACCCTAAACAAACAAGACACAAGATCCACCGGCCTCTCTGTGGATGGCTCTTTGGGTCACTGGCCTCCAAGATCCCCCTCTGCCTCACAAAGAACCGTGCCGATGGGGAGAAACCACCGCGTGGCTTAGCAAGGGCACTGCCCAGTGAAAGCCCCGACCAAATCCTCTGTCCCTGAGGGGCTCAAGGGTGAGACAACTGGGGTCCCACCCTGGGCAGGTCACGTTCATCACCCTGTGCTTAAGATGGTGTGCCGGCCAGTAGTTCAACCCTACAGGGATACCTTGTGTGCAAAAATACACATCCCACCTACTGAATTAAGCTACATGTTCCCAAATGGCAACCCCCACTCTTCCTAATAACCTGGACCAAAGAAGCTCTAATCCCACCTCTCTGGCAAGTGGCCAGCACACACACACACACACACACCGTGCCCGCCCGCCCCTGTGGTGCAAACCTGGATCTGTGAAGCATGCAGGTCCATGGTGATGATGTGGTCTGCGCCAGCCACAGAGAGCATGTTGGCCACCAGCTTTGCAGATATGGGGGCCCGGCTCTGTCAGGGAAAGCAACTCGGTTAGATTTCAGCCTCACATCCCATGGACCCAACAGCTGAACGCGCAGCTTTCAGGCACCACCTCCCTGCATGCACATGAAGGGAGACTGCCAACCCCTTGTGGAGAAGAGCTGCAGGTAGCAAAACAGGGGGCTCCCCCCGGACTCCTCTGAAGCTGCCTTTTGGACAGTTTTAAGACCACCACTGAAATGCAGATTGAGGAACCTAGGTTTTTTTACAAAATTAGTCAGCCCTTCAGGTGGCTGGATAGCTCAGTGGTTTAGGCACATGGCTGCGTGGCCAGAGACTGGGAGTTTAATTCTCCTACTGTGCCTCCTGGGTTTGGGCAAGCTGCAGAGGCTGAGCGCAAGGCTTCCGAGTCTTCTCTGCCTCGAAGACCCTGAAAAGGGTCACCATAAATCAGAACTGACTTGATAGCACATGATGATGATGATAGCCATTCCATCAGCTAAAAAGGACACTTTGGCCCTCAGCCGCAGTTTCATCAGCCAAAGGCAAGCTCTTCCTGCCAAACTAGCAGCCCGAATGTCCTTCATACGAGTGTTTATCTCAACATATCCATTCCTGATTTATCTGAGGTCTTGGATTTAGCGCCTCCCCCCAGTCTTTGCAGCCTCTGTTCATTCGTCTGGCCCTGGGAAGGGAGTCCCAGCCCAGGCTGAAGCACTCACCCAGGCTGACATGCAAAGAATCAAGACCTGCCCCCTCCCCCCTCCAGACCGCTCTTCTGGATGCCTCTTGTCCCCCCCCCCCTCCCCTTCCCCAGTTCCTTGGCAGTAAAGGCAAGGCAGCTGCTGAGCTGCCCCCATCCCTCACCCCACCCTCCGTGGCCCTTTCCACCCCTGGCCACTTGCGCTGCCTCCTCTATGGCTCTCGCCTTAAGCTCAGATTTCAGCTCCATGCTGGACAGGACCAGTGTTGGCAGCCAGTGGGGTGCACAATGCCAACTTGCTCTGGCTGTTAGCAGGCAGTTGACATTGCAGAGATCACTCACACACACACACACACACTGGCCCCGCTCCGCACACTGTCACAACCGGGACTGAAAGGAGGAGGATGAACTTGGCTGGGCGGACGGGAGCCCAGGAAGCGGCGGGTGCTGCCTGCCCCATTGTGAGCTCCCTTGAGGCCGATGGGCGGAGAGGGACGGCCACGTGGGGTGAGAGGTCAGCAGCAAGGGGCCCCTGGCCTGGAGAAGGCCGGGGCGCCCCCTCTGCCCACGGAGCCCACCTTGTCCTTCTTGTCCTGGCGGGCGTAGGGGAAGCAGGGGATGACGGCGGTGACCCTGCTGGCCGAGGCGATCTTGCAGGCGTTGATCATGATCAGCAGCTCCATCAGGTTGTCGTTGATCTCCCCGCAGCCGCTCTGCACGATGTAGACATCCTCCCCGCGGACGCTCTCGCCGATCTCCACGCTGGGA